ATTATGTCATTATACTAGTATAACGAGATAAATAATAGGTGTCATTTAATTTCGTCATTCGTAATTGATTTCGTCACCCGTAATTGATTTCGTCACCCGTAATTAACTTCGTAATTAATTACGTAATTACGTATTACATATTACGTATTACTATTACGTTTTTGGCAAAATAATTACCATCCCATGTATATATGGAATACGGAGCCTGTATGGGCTGATAAATATATTTAAAAAATAAATAAAATAAATGAAACTAAACTATTTATAATTTACACACTTATTCAATTTTAAAAAGGTGGTTTGCTTCTAGTAGGGCTGTGAAATTTCGCTGTACGACTGTACTTTGTATATGTAGTTGAATTCTTCGTTGTGGTCGTACACCACGTACTAGGAACGATTAATTTTCTGCGACGATAAAATATTATAACAACAAAATATTAGCCGTTAACCCTATCATCATGTTAACATCATGAAGTCATAAGAAAGTTAGAAGTCTGTTCTTTATGTCATACAAATAATTACAGTAAAACTATATTATAAATCAATATTATAGTAGTCACATTTAACCTTTCTATAAAATTTAAATTTTAAAGGTGAATGAACGAATACATGCTTTATTAATCAATATTACACGGAAATCGTAAAACACAGGTATATTTTCTATATAACAAATTTAATCAATCGTTTGCACAAAAAAAAAATTTTTTTTATATATTACTCGAAACCCGTTTTTCCTAGAACGCCCCCAAATGTAGACTAATAATCCTGAATAATGCGATCGTAACTAATTGATATTAGTAATGGTACTGATGATGTGCCTATATTTAGAGATGCGATCCGCGGATACCCGTCATCCGTTCATCCGTCATTTATCTCAAAAAAATCAATCCGTAATCCGTTAATTGCTCAAAAAATACATCCGTCGGATTCAAACGGATTATCCGGATCATCCATGAAATTGAACGGATCATCCGGATTGTACGGATCATCCGCGGTTTGAACGGATAATTCAGCAATATTAGTATAGAATGTTACAAAAAGAGTAGTAATGCTAGTAATTTATGACAATTCATTTATATTTATTATAAAGTTAATTCAGTGGGTGAATACATTCAACACAACTTGCATTTCTTTTTAAAAACAAAATTCGTTTAATTAAATTTCCTGTGGATCCATCTGTTACATAACGTTTTTTACAAGTCTTTTCAGTTGTAATTGGTACTTGGCATTCTGAACCTTTTTTACCACTAGGTAAATTTATTTCTGCAAACCAATTCCACACCCAACTTTTTTTTAATGGTACCTTTTTTAGTTTGTGTTTAGTAATTTTAGTCTGTTCATTAGAAATTACATTTAATACATTTCCATCCAACTCTTCTTCCGAATCTATATAGGTAAGTTCACTCTCATTATCATTACCATTATCATTGCCATTGTAATTATATTCGTTATTATCATTATTCATTGTAAGTAATCTTACAAACTAGTAAAGAAGCAACGGCATCAAAAGATGAATTAGATAAAGATGATAAAAAGTATTATATTTTAAAATTTTTTGTACTAGTACATAAATTTTTTTTATTCACATGATATTTTATTTACACGGATCATCCGGATATCCTATAATTTCTAAAATTTCAATCCGCAATCCGTTAGCACTTTAAAAAAGCCATCCGTCCATCCGGATTGTTTTGCGGATATCCGGATTGACCATCCACGGATCGCATCTCTACCTATATTCAAAAATTACTTAATAAAAACCAGGAAAAGAAACCTAATAAAAGTAGGGATCTTTGGAAAAAGAAAAATAATATGGATGGGATTTTATAATTATATAATTGAGAAAGGTAAAATTTTAATCCTAAAACTCTAACTGCCAATCAAACTTTTCTTCCTTATTTTGTTACCTTGACTGAAATTTGGACACAATAAGCATTATTAGATTGCATTTATACGTATTATATGTAAAATATTATATTATTTATGTTTAACTAATTAAGAGAAAAATGACATTGCAAGGTAGCCTTTCTGTTAACGCCAACTATTTAACCAGTATGGTTGATTATGGTTAACTTTAGAGCTACTCTTGTCAGCTAATATTCAATAATTGAGTGTTGTCAATTAATAGATTTACTGCCTCTTGAAATCTGCAGCGAATCTATAAACACACTTGATGGTACAGGATAACTAACTGCAAATAAATAGATATGGCTCTTTTACAAAACTCAAGGCTTCTATAAAAATCCTTTTTTGTTTACTTATTAACACTTGTTGGTCGATTGTAAACTCACTTTTGACTTATTTACAAATCAACTTGAATGGCTTGTTAAATATACAATACCAGTATTTTTCAATTAACACTCTTGGACAATGCTTCACTAAACATTGTTAACGCACACTAGTTAACAAACGTCAGTACTAACCCTTCGCTTACTGGCTAAAGCAAAACGCTTTTATTGTTGCTTCTTCCTTGAGGCACACTAAATAAAAACCATTTACTTTCAAACAAATACAAAAGTCTATTATTATTAACAATTAATTCAATATTTTATTACATAGTGGGAATTATTTATTGACAACCTCTTAAGATATTTGAATGGGATGTTTAATACATGTATGGAATTCTGAAACCACAATTGTATATTCCCTTTCATAGTATTTTTTAAAACGTCGGTTGTAGTCTCAGAACTTAATCCCTGGGAAGCTATTATTGACAGTGAAGAGAGAAGCAAACAAGAATATTGTTAGTAACAGAAGGAGTAATATCTCCTCAATAATCATCATTTTGTCAATACTCACCTTGTACACTTATTACAGTTCACTCTCTCTATAACGGCCCTTTCTATAACGGCCTCCATTCTATAACGCACTGTGAATCAGAACCCAAATTTTTACTATATAAAAACCTTACTCTATAACGGTTTTCTTAATTAAATTTCCTATAGTGTATAACGACCTGCCTCTGAAAATTCTCTCATATGTTTTATATGTTGCCTATAACGGCCGACGGCCATGATCTGAGGTAATCATTACCAAATCAAGAAATTCAGTGTGTCACTCTCAATTATTAAATATTAATACATCAGGAAAATGGGTACAAATATTATGCGTATATAATACGCAATTGCAGGGAATAAGCATATAATATATGTACAATTTGCATACATAAAAAAATACGTGATTTGTATGCATATTATATGCTTAATCCCTGCAATTGTGTATTATATACACATAATATTTGTACCCATTTTCCTGATAAAAACTCTGCTGATTGATTTCTGGAGGAGTTTCGGCAAGCAACCTTAATTTTAATTCACAACAACAATCCATACTAGATAGCCTTTTTAATATTGAATAAGTGTGTAAATTATAAATAGTTTAGTTTCATTTATTTTATTTATTTTTTAAATATATTTATCAGCCCATACAGGCTCCGTATTCCATATATACATGGGATGGTAATTATTTTGCCAAAAACGTAATAGTAATACGTAATATGTAATACGTAATTACGTAATTAATTACGAAGTTAATTACGGGTGACGAAATCAATTACGGGTGACGAAATCAATTACGAATGACGAAATTAAATAACACCTATTATTTATCTCGTTATACTAGTATAATGACATAATTTGTCAACTTTTTTTAGAATTATAGAATTTATTCTGTTATAACGACATGTCAGTATCAGTGTTGTGACCCGAAACTCCGAGTTTAGGGAAAACCAGAAACAGAAACTAACAGAAACCACCCGAAACTAGTTTAGGTTAGTATTTTATGTTTATGTTTATGTTTAGTTTCTGCTTAGTGTAAGTTCATTTTCCGAAACGTTTCGGGAAGCCAAAAGAGTTTCTGGTCACAACACTGGTCAGTATAATCGGAGAACCAATCAAAATCATTCTCATTTCTGAAAAAACATAATAATAAGGAAATAAAACTTATGCCGGGATCAAGATTGACCGGCACCATGGAAAATTCTGATAACACTTCTGTATAATGCTGTCAATTTTGACCCGGCGTAAGTTTTAAATTTCCTGATAAAACATGAATGAATGGAAATTCAAAAGTATTATTATAAGAAATCACACCAATGGAAATCAACTAGTTCATTTACAGCAGAGCCGGAGCATTTAGAAACTTGTCCAGATTGTCGATGTCCTGTTAAAAATGTACGTAGATATGGTAGGATTATAAAAAAATGTATAATCAATTCACAAAGAAAAAATTATTTGCCTGAATGGATCCATCAGTTTAAAAGTATTAGTGAAAAATTTAATGGGCTTTACAAGAATTTAAAATCAAATGAAAAAAAATTTTTGAAAGATTTGCAAAATATAATTAGGAATTACGATGATCAGGAGGATTACACTAATACTAAAAAAACAAAAGAAACTAATAATAATAATTATTTAATTGTCAAAACTTTTGAAATTCGAAATATAACGAATCTGTACGACATTCCTATTAAATACCAAAACTTATGGAAAAAACATATTAGTTCATATTTAAATAATTATGAGAATTTGTACAAGTTCATATATGAAAAAAGATTTTCACCCCATATAAATGCTTTCTTTCATTCATTAAAGAAAATGTAAGTATTGTCAGAATTCGAATTTTTTATTTCCTTTCAAAGAAAAAAAAATTAATTTGATTCATTATTATTTATAGATGTATGTCAAAATACGGAATGACATTGGAAGATAAGTTTGGAAAATTTACTGTAGATGAACATGGATGTAATTCTACAAAAAATATAGAAAATTTGCAATTGATTGTTCAAATGATAGGTGGAAATTCTATATTGAAAACAGATGAAAGTTTTTATGCTCATATGTTGTTTACATCTTTTGAAGCTCAAAAAACTATATTAAATGAAATTAATCTAGTAATCCTAATGATTATCAAGATCACCAACAATGACAACAAAAATAATGATGAATTAAAGAGTATAGAAGAGGAAGAGATAACTTATTTGTCAACATTAACACCACCATCATCTCCATCAAAAAAAACTGTCACGGGTATTAAATCACCATATTTTTCCCAAGTACAACAAATTAATTACAATAACAATGATGACGATGGTGATAATTTCATGGCCAAATTGCAACATAGCCTTAATGGCAATAAAATCAACGACACCACTGACAAAAATAATAATGGCAAAACATTTAAATATTTTTCCGGGAAATTTTCTGCTACAAGGGCAATCGATGATTTTCTAATTTTACGTGGTAAAACTTCACCTGATAAATCATCATCATTACCATCATCATCATCATCATCATCACCATCACCGCCACCATTGCTGAGTATACAACATCATCGCAACCAAAAGCATTTAAAACTTAAAGTTTTAGATATTTCCAAAAATAAAAATGAACCAACTTCAACATCAATTGGTAAATAATTATTTTATTTTTTTCAAAAAAAAAAAAATTTTAAAAAAATTTTTAACTTTTATTTTTTTTTTTAGATCTAACCTATAAATCCACCATTAGAAATTTACC